AAAAAAAAAACAAGTAAAGTCCTGTAATGGACTTGGGACTCTGCATGTAACATTACAGGATTCACTAGGAATTAAAACCAGGTTAGTTTTTGATCAGGTATTTAGGATCTGACTTCAGTATGACAATTTCTTTTTTGCCATACTGGGCACTGAACACAGGGCCTCATGTATTCTACCACCAACCTACACCTCCAGATTTTTTGTCTATTTGAGACAGGGTCTTGCTATGCATTTCATGCTGTCCCTGAACTCACTTTGTAGCCCAGGCTGGTCTCAAACTCACAATGATCTTCCCGTCTTAGCCTCCTGAGTGCTGGGATCACAACGTGTGCCACCATGCCTGGCCCCTCTAGCTCTTTACTTTTATGGTACTAGGGATTAAAGACGGAACTGTTTAGCCTCTTTTTACTTTGACATGATCTCATTAGGTTTCCTGTGCTGGCCTCAAAACTTGCAATCCTCTTACAGTGATGGTGAACCTTTTAGTTTTCAGTGAAACAAACAGCCTGCTGTGACATCCTTACCATAGGTTTGTCAGCACTGCTCTTACATTAGCCTCCTTGGTGCTAGAGTCATAGGTGCAGTACCATATTCAGATGTTATTTTTGAGAAGCTAAGTTAGCCAAGACGGCCCTGACACTGAGTAGCTAGGATTACAGCTGTGTCACCAGACTCAGTAGGATCATACTTTAAATAATTTTTTTATGTATTTAGTATAGGGTCTACAGGGTCTCACTACAGATCGGACTTGTAGTGATCCTTCTGTTTTCAGCCTCCAAAGCACTAGGATTACAGGTACATACCACCACGGTACGCCAAGGATCAAACCCCAGTCCCTGTGCTTGCCTAAGCAGGTGCTTTAATCCCCTGAGCTATCTGGCCATCTCTGATCACACTCCTTTTATTTTTATTTTTTGGTAGAACCAGGGATTGAACTCAGACCCCTGTTTTGCAAGGGAAGTGCTTATTCCACTGAGCCATCTCCCCAGCCCCTGTACTCTTTTTAATATTACAATCAAGAGCTTATTTTATTGTATGTATAATGTAAAAGGTCAGCCCAAAGGATCACAACATGCCCAGCCTAAGTAAACAAGTATGTCAAACAAGTACATGTCCAAACTCTGACTGAACACTAAAATTATAACCTCATAAAACTTCTCAAACACAAGTACCAAATGGGTGTGGTGACACATGTAGTTCCAGCACTTGGGAAGCTGAGGCAGGATTGCTGAGTTTGAGGCCTGCCTGGGCTATAGTGAGTTCTAAACTAGCCTGAATTACATAGTAAGACCCTTGTCTCTTTCACTAATCATATACAAATCTAACCCACAACTATAAATTATACAATATAGCTAGTAAAAAATACCATCCTACTGTGATATTTTGGTGAAAAAGGATTGCAAAAGAACATTAAGTGATATGAAGGTCCAAAGTAAAAACTTCCATGTTACGTGAACTGATCACATAGTTATTTCAACAGGTGTTCTTAATTTTCCTCAAAAAACCCCCTAATTTGTTATTCTCAATTTTTGCTGTTTTGCATGCAAACATAGTATAAGTAATGCTGTTTTAAAAGTACACATTTCTGGGGCTGGAGAGATGGCTCAGTGGTCTAAAGCACCTACTTGAAACAAGCTTGGCAAAGCACAGGGACCGCGGTTCGATCCCCAGCACCACATGCCAGCCAGACCCGCCCCCTGGTGGGCTGAGCTGGCCACACACACACACACAATAAATAAAAAAATGTAATAAATAAAAATAAATAAATATTTAAAAGTACACATTTCACTTGAATAGGAAATACTACTCTAGATCTTCAATCATCCAAATTTAATGAGTTTATATTTAAAATCTAAGATAAATTTGTAAGTAACATTTGTAATTATAAGCAAAGTACCTTTTCAGTTTCTAGGTAGAGTCATATATAAAAGAATATGAAAACAGTAAGAAATGAAACAATAGAAAAGTCAAAAGTTATTTGACAAAATAAAAAAAAATAAATCCCACGAAACACAGTACAATGTCACCTCAGTTCACAAATGCTTTTGTCTGCAAACTCTGTATCACATGACAAACCCAACTTAGGCCATCTTTTCCAAAATCATGGAACAAAGTTCTTGAACCAAGGCACCACTCTCTATATATAACTCATTCATTTTCAGAACAATGGTACACTCTACCATTGTACATGAGCATTGGTACAATTTCAATTTTTGTGAGTCTTTAAACAATACTGTTTATACTTTTTGATATTAATCAGCACTTACCTATGTGGGCAGCCTTGGCAAATCTTCTGATCAGCAAAAGACCCTCCTAAGACTTTACTTAGCATAGCTGGATGTCCTAAGGCTTTTAAAGCTTCATCTAAACTATCCACTAAGGAATTAAAAAATTCTAAAGCATCATGCTGTTCACGGAGATTAACAGGTTCACCCCAAAGCCTAGGAAATGAATGAAATAAAACATGTAAGATATAACACAACAATATATACACTATTGTTTTTTTTTTTGGGAAGGAGCAACACAACCACAGATGAGATTTTATTCCTTGAATACATAGGAGCAGGTGTACTTTACCTACAAAGTACAATGAGGGTAAGATTCAAAAGTAAAAGTGGAACCTCAGGGGCAAAGAACTGGGATGAAACTACTGGTGTGGTTGGGAAAGTATGGCTCTAGGAAGAGTGGCTGCTCTAGGCAATGTGACATACACATATTTTTACTCCAACTGAAAATGCAGGGGGCTTGCAGGTTAGCTCAGTTGTTTAAGGGTCTGCTTGGACAAACCCAGTCAAACACAGGGGCCCACAATCCCCAGCTCCACATGCCTTACCAGACCCACCCTGAAGGCAAGCCGAGCCAGCCAAAAAAAAAAAAAAAAATCCTTCCCAATTGAAAATGCGATTAAAATGAGGTGGTGTTCAGCTGGGTATGGTGGCACATGCCTGTATTCCCAGCACTTGGGAAGCTGAGGCAAGAGGACTGTTGTAAGTTTGAGACCAGCCTGGGCTACAAAGTGAGCTCAAGGCCAGCCTGAACTGCATAGTGAGACCCTGCCTCAGAAAATATGAAATGAGGTGGTAGATCTCTTACATGGATATTGGGCCTTAAATTAGGCAAACTAATATCAAGAAAACCAACTGTGAGTTGGGTGTACCATGAAATGAAAACTAAATTTACATACTAAAGCTCAGAGATCGATATGAACTATCAATGGCATCTGATTTTGTGTGTGTGTGTGTGTGTTTTTTTGGCAGAACCGGGGATTGAACTCAGGCCCTTGCGCTTGCCAAGGAAGCGCTTATTCTGCTGAGCCATCTCCCTGGCTTGTGATTTTTGTATTTTAAGAGTAATATAGCAATATGCAAAGGATGCAAATGTATTCATACTAAACAAGAGATATGACCAATGTATTTTTACATGTATCAGAACAATTTTTTGATAAATACATCTTGTGTGGCAAATAATGCCACCTCAATATTTTAGACAAAAATTTGTATATAGTAAAATGCAAAATCAGATATATAATTATTTGTTAAAAGTCAACTTGTTTCATTATTGGAAATTACACCTATTTTTCTTAAACATTTAGTACAGGATCTATAGGATCTCACTATACAGATCACTCATAGTGATTCTCGTTTTCAGCCTCCCAAGAGCTGGGATTACAGGCATGTGTCATCATGCCCAGTCTCATTCACTGGCTCAGTGTGCCCTGGGGGTGGGGGCGGGGCCGGCACGGCATGCAGGGGATCGAACCCTGGCCACTGTGCTCTGCCTAAGCAGGTGCTTTAGTCCACTGAGCTATCTGGTCGGCCCTCTATTTGTTTTCAAACTGTACTTTTCAACCTTTCAATCATGTATACAGTCAACTTATTAATTATAAAAGGAAAAAGTTAGCCCTTAAAATGGAGAGCCTTGTCATCAAGGGATCACAGTCATCAGCGCTTGGACAAACCCAGTCAAACACAGGGGCCCACATCTCTCCCAATCCAATTCAATGAAAAGCATGAAACATCATTCTGTGGTGTTCTTGCTCTGCTCCCCCCAAAGTTCAATCTGAATCTAATCATGAGGAAACAATCATACAAACCTAGAATGATATTCTGCAAGACAACTGGCCTGGACTCTTCAAAAATTTCAGGGACATGAAACTCATGCTAACAGAATG